GAGCACATTACTAAAAATACCAAAAAGCAGGCATAATTTTTAATCGCATATTGCAAAATTTTAGAAACCTAAACCGATCCATTCAAACACAGCAGATTGACAGCCATACAAAAGGACAAACGTAATAGCTTTAGAATTGTGCGCTAACAAAGAAAAGTTTGAATGTTACAATTGAATGGCAAATTTTTGCAATCAAATATTCTTTTAACATTTCGTCGTTCGGGGCGTTTCTTTTCTCATATTGTATATGATCTCCAGATTAAATATTCGATACGTAGTTTCTCCTAGGATAGTAATATTTTAACAAAAGTATTAATTTGGCGACATCTCATTGTCAAAATTTATGTTTACAAATTCATAGTATACACACAAATCAGAGATGGGAGCCTTGTCTATACATTGAAGTTTGAAAAGGAATATATCGGTCCATTCCGTCTGGTATCTCTATTAAATGAGAAACGTTATATGGGCACCACGCGAAGACGTGGACCTGCATACGAAATTTATTTGTCATAGGCTGTAGTAACCATTACGAACTTCAAATATGAAATTTGAAACAATTCCGGTGAATAATGCCGCTAAAATATACCGTTATATGGGGGATATACGAACGTGGACGGACATGGCCCATTTACGAACTTAACCTGCCTACTGGGAAAATATGCATGTATGCAAATTTTAAAGCCTTCTATCTCAATCCGTTGAACGGATAGCGTGATTACAACAGGCACACAGACGAACATCTCTTAATCGTCTTAGAATTTTATACTGAATATTTAGGGAAGTTACAAACAGTATTCTCTGCTCTACCCCCTGGTTAACATTAACATTGTTCTACACTAAAAAACAAACGTTGTTTTTATTAAAACAACAATAATGGGGTTAAGTCCGACCATTTTGCAACAATGGTATCCCGAACAAACATGCCAGCACTGTTCTGTTTTGAAAAATAAAAAAAAACAAGTTAAAAAGCAGTAAGTTCGGCCGGGCCGAACTTTTAATACCCTCCACCATTTGCAACGAATTGGGAAATTTTCAAAAAATAAAATCCTTAAAAAATTCTGTTAAAATTTTATTAAAATATAGCCGTTATTTTGGGGTCTATACGACGTGGACATACATAGGCATTGTTTGTCATAAGCCATTACCATATTCAAATTCGAAACTTGAAATAAACGGTGAATAATGTAGCTAAAATCATCAAAATACCGAATATAGGGAGGTACCGTTATATGGGGGCTATCCGAAGACCTGGACCCGCACAGACAATTTTCTGTCACAGACTGTAGTTCCCATAACGAACATCAAATACCAATTTTAAAACAATTCCGGTGAATAATGTCGCTAAAATCATCAAAATACCGAATATCGGGAGGTACCGTTATATGGGGGCTATATGAAGACGTGGACCTGCACAGACAATTTTCTGTCTTAGGGTGTAGTATCCATTTTGAACTTCAAATACCAAATTTGAAACAATTCCCGTGAATAATGTCACTAAAATCATCAAAATACCGAATATCGGGAGGTACCGTTATATGGGGGCTATACGAACACGTGGACCTGCACGGATAATTTTCCGTCTTAGGGTGTAGTATCCATTTTGAACTTCAAATACAAAATTTGAAACAATTCCCGTGAATAATGTCGCTAAAATCATCAAAATACCGAATATAGGGAGGTACGGTTATATGGGGGCTATATGAAAACGTGGATCTACATGGCCCATTTACGAACTTAACCTGCCTACTGGAAAAATAAACATGTGTGCAAAATTTTAGCCACCTATCTCAATTCATTCGAAAGATAGCGTGATTACAACAGACAGACAGACGGACAGACAGACAGACGGACAGACAGACAGACAGACAGACAGACGGACATCGCTAAATCGACTTAGAATTTTACGCTGATCAAGAATATATATACTTTGTTGGGTCTGATATGAGTATTTCGAGGAGTTACAAACGGAATGACAAAGTTAATATACCCTCCATAGTATGGTGGAGGGTATAACAAAATATTTTCAAAAACAATGATTGGAAGATACGTACATTGCGGGACGGGCATTGAAGCAATTCGCCAGTTTTGATATGTAACTGAAATATCGAACTATTTAGATCATATTTTTTAAAGAAAATCCAGGCGTTTCATTCATTTTTCGCGCTGTTTAACTAATTTTTAAAATAAGGAAAAATATTAAATATATGACAACAAGTCATGCTAATACGCAGGAAGCCGGCATAGCCTCAGGGCTGCATTTCTGTGGTTTAAGGAAGCTGTTCTACCTCCTTATTGTAAAAGAGATATACACATGGTAGAATTAAGAAAGTAAAGTCATGCAATCACATGTACTTGCATACAATTTTTTAAAAACTATTCATTTGACAACATCTTTTTGTCAAAATGTATGTTTTATTTTGATTAATTGTACTATACAAGTCAGAAATGTTTTCTATGCATTCAAATTTGACAAGGCAAATTACAGAAAATACTTATTTGGTATTGAAACAAAGTCCTTAATTTGTCGTTAGACGCCCACATACTTCTCGAAGCCTGGAAAATGGGCAGGGTTGTTCCGTTACTGAAGCCAGCAAAAGCGAATCATATAGGCAAATTTCGCTTTTGTAGCAAGGACTCTCGAAGCTTTACTCCATCTCAGCATCAGAGGATGTTATCCAGTTGCTAGCCATCAAAACGTTTTCCGTCCACAACACAGCACCACGACTCAACCAGAACATGCCGTGCCATATAACAGTAGTGGTTTCTCTTGAATAACCAGAGGTCTTTGATCCGGCCAACCAAACTACACCGTTTGATATGTGTGGACGCCAGTCGTACGTAGAGTTCTGAAACAAGAAGTCCAAACCCCGTAGAGGGTATAAGTGAGTTCACCAAGGTGGGGTGATATCTCCGGAACAGTGTTGTACACCTATCTCGCAGAGCTTGCACCTACTTCTTGCGAGGAATATCAACATATCAGCCACGAAATCAACGGCCTAACTCTTTACCACATGGTCTGCGGAGATGAGAACAGAGCTGAATGTGCGGTCTGCGATACGAGTACAACGCAATAGAAAAGTATTCAGGGCTGCCAAAATGCCGCCGCAACAGGGTGCCTCCTTATGGCTCCTTTGGACAATTTACCGTATGCAGCATAATCATGTACTTTCGTTGCAGTACCTACTTGGGTGTTACGTTGAGAATCATCGTAAACATTATATAGTGGTTCAATGATATAAGAGAGAATCTCTAGATCAGCAAGTCTATCAAGCGGATCTGAATAGAATTCATACTAATACAGTCTCTGTAATTAACCGTTAAACTATGAACGCCATCCTCGTTGTCCACCCATTCGATGCAGCTGAAGAACGTCGGGTACATAGGCCCAAAGACGTTCAGGATAGTGCAGTCGTCTCTATTCATATTGGGCACTAATTGATAGGGCCACCTCCCCATAACGTAGGGAGCGCGTGCACCCCACAGTCCGGATTATAGGGGATGAGTAGACTTGGGAAACCGGATACATAAGAGCATCAGACGGTTAACAATTAAAATATTACATTATCTAAACTAACTATATTAAAGTAAGCTTCACAAAAACTTACTAAATCTAGCAACATTTTTGATGAATTCCATGAATAAAACAGAGAACGTGTATTATTTATAAATAGAAGCTCTGGAGCAGATACATTTTTGCATAAAAACGAGAACATGTTCAATAGAAAAAGGCGATGCAATTATCTGGGAAATCGTTCATTTTCATTTTTTCTTGCAAAGAATATATAGCATGTTAACTTTGAAAATTGAAGAGAATTCATGTCGCGAAGATTATGTCCCCATAGAAAGGAGTGATACGCCAATTTTTTTTGGGAATTAAGACTTTTTTATCTAATGCTACTGGTTACTACCTTCGAATGCGCATTTTTGGGGGCTGCCTTTACGTGGAAGTATTCTAAATAGTTGAATGATAGTGAAGATGCTTGGCAGGGAGCGTTTGGTTAGAATATGTGCCTGAAAATTCAAGAACACTTCTCAGAAGAGCACATTACTAAAAATACCAAAAAGCAGGCATAATTTTTAATCGCATATTGCAAAATTTTAGAAACCTAAACCGATCCATTCAAACACAGCAGATTGACAGCCATACAAAAGGACAAACGTAATAGCTTTAGAATTGTGCGCTAACAAAGAAAAGTTTGAATGTTACAATTGAATGGCAAATTTTTGCAATCAAATATTCTTTTAACATTTCGTCGTTCGGGGCGTTTCTTTTCTCATATTGTATATGATCTCCAGATTAAATATTCGATATGTAGTTTCTCCTAGGATAGTAATATTTTAACAAAAGTATTAATTTGGCGACATCTCATTGTCAAAATTTATGTTTACAAATTCATAGTATACACACAAATCAGAGATGGGAGCCTTGTCTATACATTGAAGTTTGAAAAGGAATATATCGGTCCATTCCGTCTGGTATCTCTATTAAATGAGAAACGTTATATGGGCACCACGCGAAGACGTGGACCTGCATACGAAATTTATTTGTCATAGGCTGTAGTAACCATTACGAACTTCAAATATGAAATTTGAAACAATTCCGGTGAATAATGCCGCTAAAATATACCGTTTTATATATACCGGGACGGGCATTGAAGCAATTCGCCAGTTTTGATATGTAACTGAAATATCGAACTATTTAGATCATATTTTTTAAAGAAAATCCAGGCGTTTCATTCATTTTTCGCGCTGTTTAACTAATTTTTAAAATAAGGAAAAATATTAAATATATGACAACAAGTCATGCTAATACGCAGGAAGCCGGCATAGCCTCAGGGCTGCATTTCTGTGGTTTAAGGAAGCTGTTCTACCTCCTTATTGTAAAAGAGATATACACATGGTAGAATTAAGAAAGTAAAGTCATGCAATCACATGTACTTGCATACAATTTTTTAAAAACTATTCATTTGACAACATCTTTTTGTCAAAATGTATGTTTTATTTTGATTAATTGTACTATACAAGTCAGAAATGTTTTCTATGCATTCAAATTTGACAAGGCAAATTACAGAAAATACTTATTTGGTATTGAAACAAAGTCCTTAATTTGTCGTTAGACGCCCACATACTTCTCGAAGCCTGGAAAATGGGCAGGGTTGTTCCGTTACTGAAGCCAGCAAAAGCGAATCATATAGGCAAATTTCGCTTTTGTAGCAAGGACTCTCGAAGCTTTACTCCATCTCAGCATCAGAGGATGTTATCCAGTTGCTAGCCATCAAAACGTTTTCCGTCCACAACACAGCACCACGACTCAACCAGAACATGCCGTGCCATATAACAGTAGTGGTTTCTCTTGAATAACCAGAGGTCTTTGATCCGGCCAACCAAACTACACCGTTTGATATGTGTGGACGCCAGTCGTACGTAGAGTTCTGAAACAAGAAGTCCAAACCCCGTAGAGGGTATAAGTGAGTTCACCAAGGTGGGGTGATATCTCCGGAACAGTGTTGTACACCTATCTCGCAGAGCTTGCACCTACTTCTTGCGAGGAATATCAACATATCAGCCACGAAATCAACGGCCTAACTCTTTACCACATGGTCTGCGGAGATGAGAACAGAGCTGAATGTGCGGTCTGCGATACGAGTACAACGCAATAGAAAAGTATTCAGGGCTGCCAAAATGCCGCCGCAACAGGGTGCCTCCTTATGGCTCCTTTGGACAATTTACCGTATGCAGCATAATCATGTACTTTCGTTGCAGTACCTACTTGGGTGTTACGTTGAGAATCATCGTAAACATTATATAGTGGTTCAATGATATAAGAGAGAATCTCTAGATCAGCAAGTCTATCAAGCGGATCTGAATAGAATTCATACTAATACAGTCTCTGTAATTAACCGTTACACTATGAACGCCATCCTCGTTGTCCACCCATTCGATGCAGCTGAAGAACGTCGGGTACATAGGCCCAAAGACGTTCAGGATAGTGCAGTCGTCTCTATTCATATTGGGCACTAATTGATAGGGCCACCTCCCCATAACGTAGGGAGCGCGTGCACCCCACAGTCCGGATTATAGGGGATGAGTAGACTTGGGAAACCGGATACATAAGAGCATCAGACGGTTAATAATTAAAATATTACATTATCTAAACTAACTATATTAAAGTAAGCTTCACAAAAACTTACTAAATCTAGCAACACTTTTGATGAATTCCATGAATAAAACAGAGAACGTGTATTATTTCTAAATAGAAGCTCTGGAGCAGATACATTTTTGGATAAAAACGAGAACAAGTTCAATGGAAAAAGGCGATGTAATTATCTGGGAAATCGTTCATTTTTGAAGAATATATAGCATGTTTACTTTGAAAATTGAAGAGAATTAATAGAAAGGAGTAGTGACATAATTTTGCGTTCATTGTAGGACATACGCCAAAATTTTTTTGGGAATAATGACTTTTTTCTATCTAATACTACTGGGTACTACCTTCGAATGCGAATTTTTGGGGCCTGCCTTTATATGGAAGTATTCTAAGTAGTTGACCGATATTGAAGATGCTTGGGAAGGAGCGTTTGGTTAGAAAATGTGCCTGAAAATTCCAGAACACTTCTCAAAAGTACACATTACTAAAAATACCAAAAAGCAGGCATAATTGTTGATCGCTTATTGCAAAATTTTAGAAACCTAAACTGATCCATTCAAACACAGCAGATTGACAGCCATGCAAAAGGACAAACGTAATCGCTTTAGAATTGTGGGCTAACAAAGAAAAGTTTGAGTGTTAAAATTGAATGGCAAATTATTGCATTCAAATATTTAAACATTTCGTTATTCGTTGCGTTTCTTTTCTCATATTGTATATGATCTCCAGATTAAATATTCGATATGTAGTTTCTCCTAGTGTTTACGCAAGAAATATTAAATTAATTAACTTGCATTGTTTGGAAATGCACCTCTTTGTTGTCGATCTAATTCCATTGTGTTTGATTTTGCATACTCGTTAGAAAACTGCTTACTCCTTATTGTTACAACTTTGAACTGTCAACTAGCAGTTTTCTAACGAGTATTGGTTTGCGCCGACGTCACCTTTCGGCATTATTCTTCTTCGTATCGATCGATCGTAACACAGGTAACCTGTTTGCTAATTTTCCCCTTTTTTTCTATTATTTATTATTTAACAATAAAGCGACTGATTTTATTTGAATTTTAAACTAAAACTATTTGTGTTTTTATTTTTCTTCCCTTTCTTTATCGGAGCACAATTTCGGCGCATTTACATTTTGGTCCATTCGAACCAGACGCGAGCCTTGGGAAATATTCTAATTGGTTTTCGCTCCCTTTATATTTTCGCAGCCTTCATCATCATCATTAACATCATAATCATTCTCATCAACACCATCCCCATCATCATCTATAAACATAAACAAAACATCAGGTAGGTGGAGTGTTTTTATTTATTTGTGAGCTCGCGATTCAAAAAAATAAAATAAAATAATAATAACAAAAATCAAAAGTGTCCAAAGTCCAAAAGCATTTCGTTTTACAACAACAAACGGCCGCTTTACAACGCACCGCGTATTCCTTTTTTTCGTCGCATCAATTTTTTTTTCGGTTCCAAGAAATTATTATTGTACAGTGAAAACAAGTGAATATAGATATTTGTTGCAAAAAAAAAATAATCTGTGGGAAAAGTGGTGAAAATTTGTTTAAAAATTGTATTTTTGTGTTTGCAAACAGTGGTAATATTATTAATAAAATATAATTAACAATCGTGTTAAATTTCGATTATTTTATTAATAAATATAAATCAAATTATTCCTCGTAGTGAATGTTTCATATTCCCATTCGATTACCACTGTGTAAAAGTGCATAACAATAAGAAAAAATCACCACCAAATTGCTAATTATCATTGCTTGTAATATTCCTTTTGTTTCGCTGTTCAATAATACATAATTATATTCACATACATACGCGTGTGACATATTTACGTTGAGCGGTCAATCGTCTCGTCATCACACAGCATACACACACGCGCCTCACATACATATTTTCGAAATTGATCTTTTTATTTTTTTTTTCGTTTTTTCTTTTGTTTGCGTGTACCCTACACTAATCGGGTTGGTCAATAGTGACTGTTCAACACGTTGGGAACCAAGAAAAATATTTTTTGATAATTGTATTGTGGCGTGTGTATAATCACATTTTAAGGTAATTTTGGACATTTTAATTTATTGTGTACCCTACAGTCCGCATTTATAGAGTTTTTATTCGGTTTGTAAAAATTATTATTTTTATTGTATTTGGACATAAAAATAGTAATTTTTTGCCGTTTTTAATAAAAATAGTTGCAAAAATAATTATTTCTATATATTCTATCGAATATTTTTGCAATTATTACCTTGTTTTATTTAATATTATTTTAAATATTTCCTGATTTTTTGGCTTTTTTACATATTTTTGTGGATTTCGTCGCTCTTATAAAGGGAAAATAAATATTTTGTGCAAAATTTTGAAACTTTTCGCTAATTTGGTTGTCTTATTCGCTTTTCGGATTGATTTTTCGGTTTGTTTGGAATCAATTGTTGGGTTTTTTGGATTATTTATTTTACTTTTTTCGATTTTCTTGTCGTATTTTCGAACCTTTTTGAATTTTTCGTTGTCGGTCTTAATTATTTGGCAAACTTTTTCGATTTTCTAATCGAATTTTTGGATTTTTTGGAATATTTTGTTGGTTAAGCTTAATTATTTGGCTGATTTTTCTGATTTTTTAATCGAATTTTCGGATTTTTTGTAAAGGAATTTATATTATTGCAAGCCTTACAAGGATTTATCGTTTCGTTCATTGGAATATTCACTTTTTTGCAATTTTTGAGTTCATCAAAAGAATTTTTTGGATATTTTCTTCGATTTATTTGTCGTTTCGTGTGAATTTATATTATTCGCAGCATCATGGCTCTAAATCCTCTCAAGAATTTCACTAGAGTTTCCGATAATATGGTCAAGTTTTGTGCTAAAATTAAAGACGCGAAAGAAGAAGACTTAGATGTTTTCATTTCAGAAGTAAAAAGTGCCGAGTTAAATAAAAAATGGGTTGACTTAGAAAGTTCCTTCGGAAAATGTCTCGACTATTTATCTACTGCTGAGGATACGACTGCTGAAGACATTGTGGTTGTCGATGGTAAATATGAGGTTGTTCACGACTTGTTTATGGAGAGTGTCGCTCTCATTAAAAAATATTTGCATAAATTTCGGCGATCTCGAAAAACGTCATTGAGCTCATCTTTTAGTTCAGTGGTTTCTCTCTCGCTACTTGAAACTGAGACATGTCCGGCCTCAAACAAATCCAGCGTGGTATTAATGGTTGTTTGTCTGCAATGTCCATTTACGACGTTCGTACGGATAATTGGGATCCGTTTTTAGTCTTTATTTGTTTGCAAAGGCTCCCTAAAATTACACAAACCTTATGGGAGCAGAGTGTTAAAGATAAATCCTCTATTTCGTTGTGGAAAGACCTAAATAGCTTTTTGTCGGAACGAATTCAGACACTCATGTGTCTACATGGTATGAGAGGAAATGATCAGCCCACAAAGTCTAATGTTAAAAAACTTCGAAGTCATATGACTAATACGAATTCTTCTCGCTCTCCTAATCCTCCGCAGAATAATTATTGTTTCCTGTGTCCCCAACTTTCCCAATTGCTATCTGAATGTCCTCGTTTCAAAAATATGCCCCCCTCGGCTAGGTTTTCTATTGTGAAACGTCGTAGGTTATGTGTAAATTGCTTGCGTAAGGGACATGAGGTAAAAAATTGTATTAGTCAGCATCGGTGTTCGAAATGTAAGCGAAGCCATCACACCTTGCTACATCGTAATGATTCTTCCCCAAGAAGGTCAAGTCCACCTGTTTCTTCGGCGAGCCAGAATCCAACCAATCCAACACTTCTCGAACCAGCCAATTCATCTCGTCCCTCTACATCCTCGACGGGTGTTTCTCGGCAGGTATTCCACGCCTCTACTCCGAAGGTAGATATGTGGTGACGCTTCCTTTACGATCTGGGTTCGGTGAAGATTTACATTTGGGAGAATCTCGCCCAAGCGTCCTCAGAAAATTTATTCGTAATGAGGCGTCGTTATCTAAAAAACCCGAGGTGAAAGCTATGTATGATAAGGTCTTGATCGAGTATTTGGAACTTGGCCACATGAAGCCAACAGCATTCCAACCTGCCATAATTATCTTTCGTGTTATTTGCCTCACCATCCGGTAATTAATCTCAAAAAACAAACTACAAAATTGCGAGTTGTTTTTAACGCCTCCAATAAAACTTAGACCGGCATTAGTCTGAACGACATGTTACATGTAGGACCTTCTTTGCAACTCGACCTAGTATTTTTATTACTTCGTTGGCGAGTGTATAGGTTCGTGTTC